TATATATAACATCTTCTTTATCCATTCATCTGTTGATGGACAGTTAGGTTGCCTCCATATCTTGGCAATCGTAAATAGTGCTGCTATGAACGTTGGGGTGCACATATCTTTTTGAATTAGTGTTTTTGTTTTTGTTTTGTTTGGATAAATACCCAGGAGTGGAATTGCTGGGTCATATGGTAGTTCTATTTTTAGTTTTTTGAGGAATCTCCATACTGTTTTCTGTAGTGGCTGCACCAACTGACATTCCCACCAACAGCGTACAAGGGTTCTCTTTTGTACACATCCTTGCCAACACTTGTTATTTGTAGACTTTTTGATAATAGCCATTCTGACAGGTGGGAGTTGATACCTCATTGTGGTTTTGATTTGCATTTCCCTGATGATTAGCAATGTTGAGCATCTTTTCATGTGCCTATTGGCCATCTGTGTAACTTCTTTGGAAAAATGTCTATTCAGGTCATCTGTCTATCTTTTTTTTTTTTGGTGGTACGCGGGCCTCTCACTGTTGTGGCTCTCCTGTTGCGGAGCACAGGCTCCAAACGTGCAGGCTCAGCGGCCATGGCTCACGGGCCCAGCCGCTCCGCGGCATGTGGGAACTTCCCGGACCGGGGCACGAACCCGTGTCCCCTACATCGGCAGGTGGATTCTCAACCACTGTGCCACCAGGGAAGCCCGGTCTTTTAATCTGGTTGTTTTTTTGATGTTGAGTTGTATGAGCTGTTTATATATTTTGGATATTAACCCCTTATCAATCATATCATTTGCAAACACTTTTTCCCATTCAGTAGAGGTTGTCTTTTTGTTTTGTTGTTGGTTTTCTTTGCTGTGCAAAAGTTTTTAAGTTTAATTGGGTTCCATTCATTTATTTTTGCTTTTGTTTCCTTTGCTTTAGGAGACCAGAAAAAAAAAAAAATACATTGCTACAGTTTATGTCAAAGAGTATTCCACCTATGTTTTCTTCTAAGAGTTTTACGGTTTCTGGTTTTCCATTTAGATTAATTTCTAATACCAACACTTTTTTTTTTCCCAACAGATAGAATGAAGAAGATTTGCTTTGGTAACAAAGCTACTAGAATTCAGACTAAGAATCAAACTTTTAAATGAAACCCAGTGGGAACTCCTGATTTTTAGTGTCCTAATTAGACATTAGCAACTGAAGTTAAAATTTCTTTTAACCCTTTAAATTTCAGTTTCCTCCTTGGAATGCCACTGAGAACAAGCAAATGATAAGCTAAGATGGTTGGGAATTGTTTGCATGGTGAGCCCAATCCAACAGGCATTGACAAAGAAATACAGAAAACTTATGAGCTTAAAAGTGAGAAAGGCTAGGGAATTCCCCGGCAGTCTAGTGGGATGCAGCCAAAAAACAAAACAAAACAGAACAAAACAAAACAAAAAAGGTGAGAAAGGCTAGAAAGTACAAGCTGACTTTCTATGAGTCACAGGCGTTCAACCTGTATTTCTCATATTTGGTCAACACCCTCTATCAAAGTCTTTATACATTCTGGACTTTCAGAAAAAGCCAAAAAATCACATACTTCAAGAGGCGTGAAAGTATATTTCAAGTTAGTCCCTCTAATTACAAAATGTTAGCCGAAAAAGAAAATTTCCATAACTAAACTCTTAAATTGAGTTCAAAAATCTTTTCTACTTAAAAAAGGCACCACAAAACATTTATAGAACTGTACAGAGAAAAATGTCCAACATAATCTGAATTTCTTGATTCTAGTGTTTGACCAAACCCAGTATATATTTAACAATCAATTTGCTTTCCAAAAACCAAAATTTAAAGGAAAAAAGACATTTTATCTTCCTAAATATAAGTGGTATAAAACAAAACCAGTCAGAAGCATAACTGCCTTTAACTAAAACCAAATAAAGAAGAACCTAGATGATACAAATTTACTTAAATTAAAACATTACAGTATACATGTATGTGCATACATGCGGGAAAAATATCATATAATCTGTAAGAAGTGAAATATGTATACCCTATTTATATAACAAAGGCTGAGAAACTTAAACTCCTAGATCACATAATACCTCATCAAAACTTTTTTTAGTCCATAGACTAATCCCTTGAAGGTAGCTATTAGATGAAACAACAAGAGCTTTTATCTAAGGTTTCAGCCCTTTCTATTGACTTTCTTTTCTTTATGATCCTGTCTCAAAAGACAAATGGTATATTTTGTGTATTTGTAAACATCAGACTTTCAAGCCAGTTTACTAACAGTTCTTAGAAACAATTCATTTCTTCAGCTCTTCATGCACACCTGGTTGGTGGAGGTTTCAATGCGGAGCTCTTGTTTCCTCCTTTAAAGCAAACTCGGCAGGAGCTGGGTGTTCCTGCATGCTGGATTTCACGGCATGAGCTGCATAATTAAGGCTGGGGGTTTCACTCCAATGCCAGTAACCTGAGAAAGGGTTGTAGAGCATTACAGTTTGAACTGACAGACCATCTGAGAAAAAGAAATATCAGACAGAGCATATTTAATAAATTTTTACCTTCCACATGCCAAGAGTCTCATGCAACTCTCCAAATTAAAAAAGGATTCCTAACTCAATAGGCACAAATACTTTGTAGCCATGTACAGCTCATTCTTTACTGCAGCAGAACATAAACTCTAGCACAGTATTTGGAATTTGGTAAGTACTCAATAAATGTTAGCTGTTTTTAGAAAATACCTGCCAACAACTGACTGTTCCAATCATCTTTAAAATATTTTTTCTACTCTATTTTCAACAAAGTTACTTGCAGAGAAGAAATTACCACATTTCATTGGACAGATAATATTATTCCAAGTAAAATCAAGTTTACTGATATACTGTTATATGAACAAAAAGCATGAGACACACATGAGCCTAAGAGGAATACCAAATGCCAAATAAATGAACTGACAAGTGTTATTACTTGACAGGAATTCAACAGGTAAATCAAGTGCTCACGAGGTGTAAAGCAGAGCTAGGCAATGTGGGGAGCACAAAAAGGAGACAGTCTTGCCTTCAAGCCAGAAAGAGGTTAAGAACACTAAAATAACCATACTATAAGGCATGCTATAACTAGCATAAAACACTACATAAAAAGTGACGGGCTCCCCTGGTGGCACAGTGGTTGAGAGTCCGCCTGCCGATGCAGGGGACACGGGTTTGTGTCCCAGTCCAGGAAGATCCCACATGCTGCGGAGCGGCTAGGCCCGTGAGCCACAACTACTGAGCCTGCGCGTCCGGAGCCTGTGCTCCGCAACGGGAGAGGCCGCAACAGTGAGAGGCCCACGTACCGCAAAAAAAAAAGTGACAAGGAAGTTCAAAATATATCTGACTATGAAGGAATCAGGAAAAGTAATCCGTAAAATAAGCCGATTCAAGCACGGCCTCAATAGGATAAACTGAGGATGTGTAACTAAAACAGGTGAGGACTAAACAGCCAAAAGTATTCATTGGTCATCTATGATTTGCTTGGCCCTGGGTTAGGTGCCATAGGTGAGAGAAAAGTGGATGTAATACTTAATCCTAACTTCAAGGCGTTTATGATCTAGTTGAGGAGAGAAAACCAACATCCAAAGAATAGTGGCCTATTTCATTAAGTGCTAGGTTATGTGATTAATAATTATAGGCACATTAAAAGTTCAGTTAGGCCTTGGAAACTGGAAAAAACTTTAATACTTACTTGATTCCAGAATGCTCTCTAGCTTTTCAGGTGAAACAAACTTCTCCCATGTATGAGTACCTTTTGGTACAATACCTGCAATCTGCTCTGAAAAAACAATTCCCAAGGCATAGGACAGCTGTGTTTTGTTGATTGTAGTAATGAATAAAGAACCACCAGGCTAAAAAAAAATATGTGTAGAAGTAAAATTTTAAATGTTAGGAGTATCAGTTAGATAAAAGCTTGGCTTCCCCCACCCTCCTCCTTCCTTCCAAACAATTTAAGTGCAGTTAAGATACACAAGTATGGGGACTTCCCTGCGGGGTCCAGTGGTTAAGACTCCGTGCTCCCAGTGCAGAGGGCACAGGTTCGATCCCTGGTCGGGGAACTGAGATCCCACACTGCGCGGTCAAAAAAAAAAACAAAACACAAACCCACAAGTGTGAATAAAATATAATCTACCAAAATAGAGGGTTTTTTTCTCTCAGGAAGTTCATTGTTATGGGCAGTCCACTACAGATGTATGTACTGAGTTTATGCAACAGTGCTTACAACTAACTCCTAAAGTCATACATTACTATGATTTATGTTTATAGTTATACATTTTTTGTACATATCAAATAATTTATAATAAAAATACAGAAATGAGATCCGGCTGCTCTTCCTTGTTACGTGTCCACATTGATGTCTTAATGTGTCAACACTGCTTTCTTTTTGGGTGCCCAGCCTGCCTAACTTGTTTGGTACAGCGCACACTGCCCCGTGGTTTGTGCAGGCTGGCAAGGCCAATAAATGTTCTCTGACAAAAGCCTTAATGATTAAGGTATGAAAGTGTTCTGTTTTGTTTTGATTTCATTAGTATAAAGAATATAAAGAGATCAAGATAAGAACTCAGTGAATGCAAACCACTTACGGGATTGTTTAGTCTGCCATTTTTTAGTGACTATATTTATAGTGTTTCCTGTATGTACTCCTACAAATGGCAAGAACATTAATATCTCTTCCACACATTCTCATTAGCACCTGATGGAGATGAAATGCCTAAGATCCCTTCCAAAATAATCATATTAAGATATATATGTATGAAAATACCTCAAATAACACTCTAAACCAAAAATAAAAATGGTAAGAGAAGGCCCTGGAATACCGGGATGTGCCCTTAAAACTAAAATATCAGACACTACTTCATTACACATTATAACTTTTCTCTGTAAAACTCTAGTATTCTAAAACATCTCATTAAAAATCACTTATGTGTGGGCTTCCCTGGTGGCGCAGTGGTTGAGAATCCGCCCGCCGATGCAGGGGACGTGGGTTCGTGCCCCGGTCCGGGAAGATCCCACATGCCGCGGAGCGGCTGCGCCCTGGCCGCTGAGCCTGCGCGTCCAGAGCCTGTGCTCCGCGACGGGAGAGGCCACAACAGCGAGAGGCCCGCGTACCGCAAAAAAAAAAAAAAAAAAATCAAACAAAGACCATGTGACCTCTGACACCCCAGATTCTGATCTTCATTGGGTCAAAGGAGGTCACAATGCCTGCCTTACCTTCCTCACCTGGTTGTAGGTAAGATCTGATGAGATCATTTGTATGATGTATTCTTTTATAAGCTGATAACTGTTACACATATCACATATACAGAGTGACTTAACAAATGCTGGCTAACCAATTTATGCTAATAATGGTTTTTTATTTTGAAGTATTAATCCAAGTCAGTTTCTTAGTAATTGTCATTCAATGCCTATTAGGTAATTAATCCAGACTATACCAAAGAAAAATACCACTATAAATCTATTGTTTGTATTGCAGTGTTCAGCACCAACATTTTTCAAGATCCCTGGACATCAAGATACTGGATCTGGAAAACCCCAGATATTGAGGGCAGGCTGAGAGGCAGAAGTAATCTCCAGTAGAGATGCTGTCCCCTCATCCTGTCTTCCTGGTTTCAAGTATTATAAAACATTTATTGCTATGGATACATACACAAACTCAAAAGAAAAAACAAATAAGTAAACTCTGTAAGTCTTACTTTTAACACTTGACAGCAGCACTGTATAAACATTTCTAGATCAATCACATGTTCTACAACTTCAGAAGCTACGACAGCATCAAATGTTTCTGCAGTTTCTTCCACAATCGTTTCCAGGGAACACACTCTGTACTCTATCCTCTTATCCAGGACTGGGTCAAATGATTTATGGTGCTGTGCTGTTTTAATGTTCTCATCCACAGGATCAATTCCAATAACTGAAGCCCCAAGCCGCCCTAGAGGCTAATGGCATAAGAAATCATTACCCTCAGGAAGAAAACAGAACACACGTTAGCAATAAAAAGCTTCTCAAAAAGGAGACAAGATTAGGCACGAGGTGATAATTGTTGGAGATCATTTATGGGTACACGAAAGTTCAATATACCATTTTCTCTAGTTTGTACGTGTTTGATAATTTCCATAATAAAAAGCTTAAAAGTGAGAACAATAATCACAACAACAACAAAACTTATCAAGAACTGCTTAAGAATAATGAGGAAATTTTTGTCTACATTCTCTAGATATATTTACAGGCACACAGTACAGCATTAACATATTTAAAGTACAATAAATGTAACATGTCATTGTAAAGAGAGCAAAATTTTCTAATACTGAAATTCTCTAAAGCACATTTTTTTCTCCATAGTTTCTCTTGTGACTGACTAAAAACGATTCTTCGTAACTAATTCTTCTTTCAGCCTTTATATTCAGTCACTTCCCATGACATGCCTGAGTTTTAAAACACAGCCTTTATTTTGATCAAAACTGCATAGCATTTATTTTATAACCCTTTAGTTAATAAGTTAAAAGTATAAATCAAATTATTTTAACTTTAGAGACATAAATCTGTAATAATACACGGGGAAGATCATAGAACACATACAGTAAAATTGTACTAATTTACAATTTGATACACCTCATATTCTTGATTCTAAGGGATGTATTTTCACATATTTTACATTTCCTGAAATTTTATAATTGATGTCAAGAGAAACCAGCGCACTGCCATATGAAGAACACATTTTCTGTGCATATGGAAACTTAGCTATGTATCAAAGGCCTCTGTTAACCTCACTGTCAACTTGGCTGTTATGACCTTGACAGTAACACACACCATTGTATCTTCACTTACATTTGTATCCTGTACTGTTTGCTTAAAATATCTTTCAAGCAAAGATTATGATGCAGCATTTAAAGAAAAAGTTATTGTGTTGATAGGAGATTACAAAATAGAACTGTAGGGCATAAATATTCTGTCAGCTAAAGCAAGTATTGTTCACAGGGAGAAGTACTCTAGAGCACCTAAGAAGGGGAGAGCCGCCAGAGCAGGCAAAATTCTGTTACATTTTGATACTGAAGCAAGTGCAAAAGGACAGCTTATCAGTGCATTTAAACCAGCGGAAATTGCCTAATATCTTGGGAGAGAAGAGATACAAAATTTCCATAGCTATTCAAATGCCAGTGCTTTTTTTTTAATTGAAGTATAGTTGATTTACAATATTGTATTAGTTTCAGGTGTACAACATAGTAATTCAATACTTTTATAGATCATACTCCATTTAAAGTTATTATAAAATAATGGCTATATTTCCCTGTGCTGTACAATATATGCTTGTTGCTTATTTATTTTATGCATAGTAGTTTGTACCTCTTAATCCTCCTACCCATATCTTGCCCCTGTCCCCTTCCTTCTTCCCACTGGCAACCACTGGTTTGTTCTCTGTATCTGTGAATCTGTTTCTGTTTTGTTATATTCATTTGTTTGCTTTATTTTTAAGATTCCATACATAAGTGATAACATACAATATTTGTCTTTGTCTTATTTTACTAAGTGTAATACCCTCTAGGTCCATCCACATTGTTGCAAATGGCAAAATTTTCATTCTTTTTTATGGCTATTATTCCAGTGTGTGTGTGTGTGTGTGTGTGTGTGTGTGTGTGTGTGTGTGTGTGTACACACACACAC